TGACAAGCAGCCAGTAAGTAAGAAGTACAAGGACCAGGGCCACGCCCTCAGAGTCCTGCGACCCTGAAAACGCCCCAAACTAAATGCAGCGGCAGCCATTTCTCACTGCACCGGGCTTAAGTGAGGCGCGTGTGAGCATAATCAGTTGCAAATGCGTGTCACTGTTCGGCTGATGCAAGCACCGAGTAACACGGCATGAATGAGGGAAACGAAGCCCTGGAGGGACGGTGCCGAAAAATAACTGCACCAGTCCCGGTGTCAGAACAGCAGGCGCCTGCAACGAGAGAGAGTCGGACTCGCTGGAAAAAACATGATTAGCTTTCTGTTCGCCGAAAATTATGCGTCACGAGGAAAGCGGGTCTGCTCCGTGTAACCGTGTGCCTCTCTGCATGAGTGGACGAGGTAATTACAGCCAAAGCTGAAAGAAGAAGTGAGGTTCCGACAGTTTCTCTGGCACAATTACACGCTTTCTTTTCCTCCCTTTCTCCATGTGAAATGTTGTTTGGTTGGTGTTGTGTCTCTACCTTTACCACTCACAATGTAGCACGTCACTCTGAGCTGCAAATGTGCGAGAAATTCAAAAGTCCAAAATCATATTTTTTGTATTTTGGAGCAGTAATACAATTATTTTCCATTGCTCAATTTATGAGGACATTTCGCAGTAGTCTATGACAAGTGTTTTGTCCAAACATAACCGTCCATGCATACAGTAAACTTTCCACAGTGCAGTGTGTGTGTGTGTGTGTGTGTGTGTGTGTGTGTGTGTGTGTGTGGAGCCGCTCACTACATAACTGATATTGTATCTAAATAGAAACTAATAACAAATATAGCTGCAAGCAGCCATTCCGGGTCCAGACACTCAGCAGCTCAGTTGGAGAAGAATCCGTCTGAAGAAGAAGTGAGACCCACACTGGTTTCATCAGCACAATGGATGCTGCCTTTCAGTAATTGCTTACTCACAGTCCCGCCAGTCATATTTCTTGCCAATTTTGGAAAAATGTTTCAACAGCATAATTAAATATATTCAGCAAGTTTGGTGACAAACTCACTGATCTATAGCCACATGTTTACGCCCCTATAACAGCGTTACACACGCGGTTAAACATCGTCATGAAACATATCCTGCCAGTTTTGTGATGATTGGACAAACAATTTCAAAGATGCATTTGAGTCATGTCACACTCATTTCTGGGGATTTGTAGCGCTCTCTAGTGGTTGATTTGAAATAAACTTTCAAGGTAGAAAGGTTGATGTGATGATGGTTTCTAGCCATGTGCTAAGCCATGTTCGTTCAATGGCTAATATCTTGAAAACAAACAAGACAAATTCAAGCTTTTGGTAACTTTTGATAAGCTTGGTCCAATAATGATCCACAGAAAATTTGGAGATGTCAAAAATGTGTTTTCAAGAGCTACGGCTCAAATGATTGTTTCCAATAAGGGCAACACTTGGAAAAATGTTGCATGTATAGATTCCATTACTATCGAAGAAATTCAACATTTCTTATGATTTATGGCATTATAACGGTGATACGTTATGTTTGTTCTCTCTAATTCTAGCCATTATTGTGCTGTTTACATAGAGAGTAAAACCCTGAAACTGCTTTAAAAGCTCATGTTGTGAATGTAAAAATCTACATTTCACTCATGTTCTCTTGTCTATCTGCTTTTACCAACTTTAGGGGACACCAAGCAGATTCCATTAAAGGCATTTTAGCAAACCCTTCTGTTGGGGAGTTTAATGTCCCCCCCCCCTCCTCTCAACAAAGGTCCAGAGCTAATTCTGTGTAAAGGCTAGCCTGTAGAGGCTCCAGCTGGACGACGGTGGCTGTGTGATGGCGAGAGGGCGCAGTGGGAGCAGGTGAAGGGGGACGTTAAGAGGGATCCGGAGGTCAGGGCGATGACGGCACTCTGGGCGAGGTCACAGCCGAAAGGCACTTCAAGTGGGCGCGACGAGTGCGGGAAAAAAAAGCCCAAACCGACATTAAGCACAACAATACCTTGTGTGCCCTCAGACAGAGGAACACACTCCTACGTGCACAAAGCCTTTCAGCCGCTCATTCAACAAGGTGGTTCAACCGCTTCAGGAAGCACACCATGAAAACACGTTCAGATCTTTCTCAGGGAGCGTTTAATGTGCACAAATCCTTTTCATAGTTTCCACATGACTGTCGTTAGCCCCGATATAAACAGCTCAAACAGTTAATCAGCTAGATATCACTACATAAGTTCATCAAGCTAGCCAACCAGCAGCTCATGACATGTTGGCTACTAACAGCTCATCCAGTTTCCTTTACAGATTAAAATGCTGTTAGTTACTGACAATGACCAAGAAAAACAAAAATCATAAAAAGGAGCAAATCTTTTGTGGCTGTTGTCATCTTAGGAGGTATAAACCAATCACATGGGAGCTTTGTCAGGATGCCTGTTTTCTGTCTGTCAGCACTTTGAGTGTGAGAGTGTGAGTGTGAGAGAGAGAGTGTGTGTGAGAGTGTGTGTGAGTGTGTACGTTTTTTAAAAAGTAGGTTAAAGCCACCGAAGCTTAAACTCTGCAGTGTATCACAACACATCTGACGAGCTCGTTTCCTGATTCAAAGATATGACACACACAGCACGATGCAGACTTTCCCTCCTACGATCACGACATGAATTCACTTAATTTTGTTTCCCAGAATTGTTACAGGACATGAACATTGTCATTTTCAGTCCTGCGTGCGCCCTGCAGGGCTTCCCTCGGTTTGACAGATTGCTTTGGCATCCTCTGTTCAAATGATGATTGACTTTCTTCAGTTGAAAGACGCCGTGTGCTGTGCCATAGGAACAATGAACTCTGGTCACTGCACCTCAGTAAAGTACCTTCAGTGACTGACAGCTTAAAATAAATACGCTGCTTTCTAGGATGAAACCCGGTGGTTTTCATAGATGTCGATGAACTTTGGAATATCTGCAGGTTTAAATGAATATGCACCTCGTTTATGCATCTATAGAGGGTTAATATTCAGATTAATAAATGACTTGATAGGAAAGTAACACCTGTAAATGTCTAGGGTTCTGTACAATATAGTTTCAGCTGTATAGAGTATAAAAGAAACATTTGAAAAAGGCACAATTTTACTAAATGCTTTGACGAGCCAAATAACACAATCTCTATGAATAGAATCTATTGATGAACATGAGACGCTGATGTGAGCTCGTCCTGGTCAGCATCTGTACGGCTTTATGCTGATTGACATTTATGTAATTTAAGGTTTTCTTTGGCTCCTCGTGTAAAAACGTCACAGCAATCAAGCCGGCTAGAGATAAAAGCATGTACGGCTTTTAGTACGAGTACAAACACAGTGAATAGATTGAAGCTCCCACATTTCTTCTTGGAGTCTTTGCTCCAGTAATTAAAACGTTCACTCATCTCTGTTCAGCTGGGGCTAACTGTTCGTACTGAACTAATTATCAACAGGACAGATTTATCACTGGTTGATTCAGAAATATACGACGACGAGCACAGATAATAAAAATAAAAGAAAATCAATGCTGCGCTCCGCGGTTACATTTCCAGCGGCAGCAGGTCCAGTACTGGTCCCAGGACGGAGCCTTGGGGAAACATGACGAGTCATAAAAAAGGAATAGTTCAGCATTTTGGGAAATGAGCTTATTTGCTTGCTTGACAAGACGTTCGATACTAATCTCATATCGTCTGTCCAACACGAGGCTGCAGCCAGCAGCCGGTTAGCTGAGCTTAGCATAAAGAGTAGAAGCGGCTACGCGGCTCTGTCCAGAGGTAGCTTCAACCTAAAGTGTTTATTCAACGTTCATCTCCTGAGGCCATCCAGGACTCACACAACACAGACGTTTTCTAAAGTACAGAAAGACAAAGTTTAAGTGTTATACTTTTTTAAAATGATATTTTGAATGGGACAACATTGTTACGGTGTCAAAGTGATTTAACTGGTCATAAACAGGCATGCAATGGTTAAAATATGTAGTGTGCAATGAGGGACAATCACTTCAGCATCCGCAGAACTAGACTTCAGTCCAGAGCCGCAACTCAGCCCAACGTTGCTTCTGATGAAGTGCACTTGCCTCCAACTCTCTCTTTATACGTCCAGCACCCCACCAAGCATGACTCAGCAGGTTTGACTGGTTCTGATGGACTCTGTGTGTTGTCCTCGTGTATATTCTGCTTTTTGACCGTCGAGACTAAGAATCCGTCTGCTAGTGGAAACGTTGTTGTACGAGGCGTCTCCTCTGTATTAACCTGACGTGGACGGTGTGCTAGACAGAACCGTCGATGGAAACGGTTTGGACAGCTGAGGGTGTTTTCAAAACATACTTGTCAGAAGTTCTTGTATTTCAACAGAACCAAGTCCACGTTCTTCTGTCTCTTAGATAACCGAACACTACAGATGCGGGTTGAATGAGTAATTGGAGAGCTCGCTATGCATTTGTTCTTTCCTCAGCGGTTCTCTATCCACACAGAGGAAAGTGGCCACGGTTGTTTCAAGGGTAGAAGTTGGATTCAAAGCACACACACAAAAAGAAAAGAGAATTACAATTCAGCTATTGTCTTTGATATCTCCACTGCTTGTTCCATTCCCCTTTATAGGCAGCGAACACAGTTTAGAGACGGAGACAGACACGGGGGGGGGGGGTCCTGCTGATTTAAGTAAAAATTGAGAGTCCTGACAAAATGTTCCTGTTCTTCTCAAATAAAATTGTTTTCTGATTAAAATTCAACTCTGAAAAGCAAAACCCATCAAAGTAAATCACCTGTGTGACTTATATTGCAGCTGTCGTGCAGAGATGCATGTCGCGGTGTTACCGAGGGTATCTTTATACCTCCAGGGGTGAAACGTCAGCAACATTGACCAAAAGCTCTGGTGCTTGAACAGCAGCTTCACGGCGCCCCAAATGTAGACAAACACAATCTGTGTTCTGGTGGTTGTTAGTTCACCGACCGGAGAAGCCAAAGTCAATGTTTGCAGTCGGCGTGGGTCTCTGACTTACCTCTCGTCGCCTAGACGCCCAGCAGCTTTGTTTGATCTTCCAAACCACGGCGGCCACGAGGAGCAGGGACAGGAAGCAGCTGTGGACAGACGGGGACAGGAGGAGACGGATCAAAAAGGGACACAAAGACTGATTATTGAAGAGGGGAAACGACACAAAAACTGTGGAGCATCCGAGGTTCTATTTGTAGCCAAAGAAGTGCGCGACGATGTCAGTTCCAGGCATACTGCAGATTCATAAATGTGCACAGATTCTTTTTTTGTTGAATGTATATTCATGAGTGTTTTAGTCTGACAGCGCTTGGCAGAGGAGGCGATAACATCGCTCTGTATTATTCATTAATGAGCTGCGGGCCTGAAGCTTGAGGACAAACCTTCAGCTTTATTCCCCTCATGACACAAAAGAAGACATGAGCCCCTGCTCTGCCATGACAAGTACGACCTTTACAGTGGTTTTACCATTTCACCGCAGTTACACTGTACTTCCAAGAGCATGTTACAACAAGAACACTAACCTAAAGTGGCCAAATATTACAAGTTATCTATAAGAAATACAGAGAAGTTAAAAATTATAACAAATCCAACCTGCTCTGCAACAGGATATAGAATCACAACTAAAAATATCTTCACAGGCACAGTTTACCAAATAGCTGAGGATGATGTCACTGGTTCACAACATTGGAGGTGGAAGTGTGAAATGCTGCCAGACTAAGGAGGCAGCTGTCGAGGGAGGCCGACCGCGCTTTGCACTTTCCACGATATCGCCGAGAGGATCGGGAGGGTGGTAAATCAGACACACGGCTGTTCGGTGTGTCAACACCTCCATCCCCTGCATACGCACACACCTCCATCCCCTGCATACACACACACACACACCTCCATCCCCTGCATACACACACACACACACCCCTCCATCCCTGCATACACACACACACACACACACACCCCTCCATCCCCTGCATACGCACACACCTCCATCCCCTGCATACACACACACACACCCCTCCATACACACCTCCATCCCCTGCATACGCACACACCTCCATCCCCTGCATACACACACACACACACCTCCATCCCCTGCATACACACACACACACACACACACCCCTCCATACACACCTCCATCCCCTGCACACACACACACACACACACACACACACACCCCTCCATACACACCTCCATCCCCTGCATACACACACACACACACACACACA